TGAGATAAGGTGTGAATGAGTGGACACATACTACCAAACAGGGCCTGAAGTAAATGTGTGACCTACTATAAAATGCCAAATACCCAAATATTTAGTTCAACTTCTTACATCCTGTGTCAGGATAGACCTACAACACTATACTATCTGCCATTATTTCTCCTGTCACTTTTACCATTTCCAATCACAAATACATAATACTTTGGGAGAATGAGCTATTAATACCAAAAGCTCTAAGGCTTATCAAAACTCTAAGATGTATTTGTTTAAGAGTCATGCTGTTCATAAGTCAGATGTCATCTCTGAGTGCATTTAATTCTGCCCATTCATGGGCATGGGTATCTATAGAATCAAATGATTCAATAGACTGTGCCATAGTAAAACCCCATTCCAACCTGGAATGAGTAGTTACGATGTTGTACTGAGCATATATTTGTCTTTCTTTTTTTATAGGAAAAGTGGTGGAAAGATTACCCTGATTCATTATGGAAAATGCTGAACAAGAAGCAGTTTTTTTGTGCTAGCTTACCATCTCTCTCATTCTTCTTTTCTTACTTCTGCTTATACTTTTCTTTAGCATATACCTCGAGTTCATAAAGATATGCCTTCTACTCTGCCTGGGTCTTGAAGAGTTCCATGTGTGTCTATTTACCTTTATTCATTTGTTAATAAAGTAAATTCTGCAGAAGCATTGATTGTGTTTTGACCTTGATTGCAAGAAAACATACAAATATAACATAAATAATTGACCTTACATAAACTAGGATCAAGAAACCTGTTTTTCTGATCTAAATCAACCCTCTAGTCACCATGGAATCTTGGGAAAATCTCTTCTTTTTTCTTTTTCTTGGAATCTCTGGGTGGATCATGAAGGATTTTGGCAACGTAACCATATGTTAGTTATTTTAAAATATCAGTTAAATATTAGGTTACATTGGTTCTTTGTAAATTTCAGAAAAGATATTTTAATAAAAGTAAAACCTTCATCTTCTATAGACTATAGTTTTCTCATTCATCAGGAATGGTAAATTTGAATTGCATAATATCTAGGTACATACAGTATCTGGCTTCTCAGTAACATCATAGGATCTATCAGCTAGAAAGAAAAAAATTAATGAATGGTGAATATTCAATAGGAGGTGGTTAAGCAAGTATCATGGAAAAGAGCAAAAGGAGATGCTAAAACATGGTCCTTAAGGGTGTGGGGCATGCCTGGTTAGTTCAAAATTCAGCAAAGAGGTGACTGAAGAGGACTGAGCAAGTGACAAATAGTAGCTAAGGCCAGAGAGGAATGAGCCCGCATCATGAAAGGCTTAGTAGTTACTGTTAAGATTTTGGCTTTTATTATAATACATGAAATGTGCCCCAAACCATAAATATTAACATACTTCTGATCTTAAAAGTCTCAAATATATTTTATGTACATACATAGATGTTATGTTTTGTGAATGTTAATTGGGTAGGACCAAGCCAGACGGAAAGATACTTCCAGTATCTTGATAAAGGGCATGAAGTAAATTAGGTTATTCTAGGATAAATATGTAAGAATGTCCTTCTATGGTTAATGAATATTCCCCTTGATGGATAAAAATGACCACATAATATGTAATTTGGGTACCTCAATTATAAGAGGATGGGTCTTCAATGACCAGAATGTGAAACATGGCTCTGACATAAGCTATACAATTTTGAACAAGTTATTTTGACTTGTTTATATCATTTCTTCAGCTGAAAAAATAGGGACAATAGTATCTATCTCTTCATATTCTGGTGACAATTAAGTTTATGATGTATGTAAAACACTTAAATGTTGAGATGAATAAGCCTAGAGATGTTAATGCACTGAATAGTGTAAAGCACTGGAATTGTAGTTGATAATTTTTTATAATATACTGAAAATTTGCTAAGAGAATAGATTTTAGGTGTTCTTACCAAACACACACATACACACAGAGCGTTAACTATGAAAGGTGATGAATTTGTATATTTGTCTGAATGTAGCAGTCAATTCACTATGTGTGTGTATATACATCAAAGTATTGTACACCTTACATATATATACACTCAATCAAAATAAATTTAAAATGTACCAATAGTAAAATATTAATATTACAATCCAGGTTTACAGGTGTTCACTTTTCAATTATTTTAACATTGCTTTTTGAAAATTTTTATTAAAATTTGTTTTAAAAATGATAAAATATACATAATGCTCTGCCAAAAAGATAAGATGTTTATGTCCCTGATTATTGTGATTTCCAGGACAGAACACACAGTTTCAAGTATGATTTGTACTTCTTGCTCCAAAGCATAAAAAGATAATTAATTTATTTGACCTGAACACCCATATCAATTATTATATCTTCAGATGACAATGGGAACATTGTTCAAAATAAGTGATACCAAATTTGTAACACTGTCCTTCGGCATTTTTATTCCCCCACTGCAATTGTTATCATATCATATCTTTCTCATCTCTTCTCCTCTGAGTTTTGAAGATAAATTCATGAAAAAGCATATATAATATGTCAATAATTAGGCTTGAGTGAAGGGGGGGTTTCCATCTATGGCAATTTGAAAGTTTCACGAAGTGAAATACACACACATACAAACACATATATTAAAGTAAAGAAGAATAAAACATTAAAAAAGGAGAAAAAATACCAAGACTGACATAAGTCACTACCAATAATGACAAGTAAAGTATTTACTGAAAATAGCACACATACCTCATTTAAATTTAGTAATAGTCGTGAAGTTGTTGCCTCATTTTATAAAAGAGAAGCCTGAAGTTCAAAGATTTAGGTGATTTGTTCATGATCATAGTCAGTGAGTTGAGGAGTCTGAATTTAAACTCAGAATAATTAACCTTAATTCCATATTTTTAACCTACAAAGCACATAATTATAGTAATTTGAGTGACCTGGGTGTAAGTATTGAATTGGAGGGATTAGTCATGTATTTGGGGTCATTAGAGATAAAAGTATTCAGAATATCACAAAGCATGAGCAAATATGTACAGAGGGTGACATGTACCAACATCTTTTCCAATATTTTAATTTTGTGACTGGGGTACAGTTTTAGCCTGAGAAGGCCTGGCTTCAAATGGGATAACTCAGAACTACGGATCTAGTGAACTGCATTTTTTGTCTTTCTTTGTCTTTTTTCTTCTTGAGCTGTGCCTTTTTAAAATGTTAGTTTAATTCAGTTCTGCATTTTGAGTCAAGGGAAAGATAAGTAGAAGAGATTTTTCTTGCTTTAATTTGAAAAGATACAGATCTAATAAGAAAAGAGTGCCCTTGAATAAACCACTTTAGCTCACTACAATCATCTTTTAAGTTTGATAAGTATACCAAAAGAATGCAAATGATAAGGCACAGTTGTATGTCTGCTGGAAATCACTGTACATACTTTGGGTGGTATTGTCAGCTTGACAATATAAAATCACCTAATCTGTGAATGGAGTAGGTCTTTCCTTGTATTTATGTCTTCCCTAGTTTCTATCAGTAATGATTTTTAGTTTTCAATGTACAAGGCTTTTGCCTTCTTAATTAAATTTATTCCTAAGTATTTTGATCTTTTTTGATGCTGTTATAAAGAGATATGGTTTCTTAAATTTCTTTTTGGATTTTTGTTAATGTATAGAAACACAAATGATTTTTGTGTGTTGATTTTGTACCTTGTAAGTTTGCCTGATAATTTTATGAGCTCCATTTTTTTCGTAATATCTTTAGGGTTTTACATATAAGATCCTGCCATCTGCAAACAAGTAACTTTATTTCTTCCTTTTTATTTGAGTGTCCCTTATTTCTCTTTCTAGAACTTCTAAGACTACGTTGAATACAAGAGGAGAATGTAGATTCCTTGTCTTGTTTCTGATCTCAGAAGAAATCTTTTTGCTCTTTCACCATTGAGTTTGATGTTGGCTATAAGTTTGTCATAGATAGCCTGTGTCATGAGGAAAATGTTCTTCTATTCCTAGTTTATTGAATTTTTTATCATAAAAATGATGAATTTTGTATTCAAATTTTGTATTTTTTTATGTGTCATTAAGATGAGCATGAACTTCTTTCTCCTTTTGTCCTATGAATGTGGTATATTACACTGCTTCATTTTTACATGGTGATCCATTGTTGTGTTCAAGAATAAATACTACTTGGTCACTTTAATATGGTACTGAATATGGTTGCTGGTATTTTATCAAGCAAATTCATAAGAAATACTAGTCTGTAGTTTTTGTGTGTGTATGCTATCTTTATTTGTCTGTAGTATCAGGATAACATGGCCTCAGAAAATGAGTTAGAAAGTGATCCCTCCTCTTTAATATTTGGGAAGGCCTGGTGTCAATTCTTTAGATATTTGATAGAATTCATCAGTTAAGTCATCTGAACCCAAGCTTTTATTCATTGGGAGGTTTTTATTACTGATTAAATCTCCTTTCTAGCTAAAATTCTAGTCAGATTTTCTATTTCTTCATCACTCATTTTTGCTAAATTCTGTATTTCCAGAAATGTATACATTTTATTTAGTTTATCCAGTTGTTGATAAATGTTTTTATTCCTATAAAATCCTTAGCAATATACAACTTTCATTTCTGATTTTAATAATTTGAGTTCTCTCTTTTATTCTGGGTTGGTATAACTAAAGCTTCACCAATTTTGTTAATCTTTTCAAAAAACCAAGTTTTGATTTTGTAGATTTTCTCTATTGTTTTTCTATTATTTTTGTTGGTTTTTTCATTTCATCTGATTTAGTCATTATATTTTCCACTCTTTGGTTAGCTGTGGACAGAGATTGCTGCTCCTTGTCTATTCCCTTAAGTTATACAGTTTGGTAATTGACTTGAGTTTTTTCTTCTTTTTAAAATATACCATCATAGACATTTTAGGATGACCAATTTTATCATGAATAATTGGCAATAACACAAATTTTACAGATACTTTTATTTTTATCATAGAACTAATAATTTTCACCTTTTACTTTTTATTTATTTCCTTTGGTCAGGTACTCCTTGAGAGAAGAATATGCACTCTTTCACTTACTAATATATCCCCAATGTATATAGCAATGAATAACACATGTTTGGTGTTAGGAATGGATATGATGAGATCAATAATATAAATTTAATTTTAACTAAATTTACATTGTGATTTTGTTGGAGATTCTTTATATATAGTGTAATGTACAGAGAAATTTAAAATAATCAAATATATACAGAGTCCAGACTGTTATGAAGCATCTAGTTGTAGAATATTTGAATTGATGAGAAACACGGTGACCTGTAAACTAAATGCCCATCAAAACAAAAACTATAGCAGCAAAGACACAATAGTGAAAATGTAGACTAAGTCCAGTTCACATATCTCCACTGCTTTTGGAACTCAGCTTTTACCACTAGGAAAGGCATGTTCTAATATAAAGGACTGTTAGAAAATGCCTAAGAGAGCATGTGTATGCACACACAATTTAATCATTTGAGAAAACACAAAGTGATAATTA